ACTTTATACAAGTTAAAGTGTTTACTTGTGCACACCCAAAGTTGGAGGGCATAAATGTGAAATAAGGTCAAGTTAAAGAGCACATTTATGTATTATGCCTTTTTATATTTAGTAACAATTTGTCATCCAACTTTGAGTGTTCATAAGTCGACACTTAAACTTGTATAAAGTTGAACAAGTAGACACATGAGTGCTATATGGCGAGAGGCGAACCCAGAATTTGAAAACTTTGGGTGCACCAAATATGATCTCTAAGTGCTTAAAATAACAATAGTGATATAGGCTCTAGCTAGATTTAAACCCTAGTCTTTCAGGTGGCCTCTCTACCTTGTACCAACAGCACAAGAACACCCATATACTCCTCATGTGTGCACTGTTAATTATATCGATCCTAGTTTCTGCCAGTTTTTCAAGATAGATATACATATATACACATGATTTTTTTCGAACTTAACGGGTGCACGTGCACCCCACTGATAAAGGTGGGTCCGCCTCTATATGTGGCATAATACATGTGTATTTAAAAAAAAGTGTCCTTTAATTTTATCATTTTAATTTTTTTATGTTATATTTGATTTTCTTCACTTTAAAACTTATTTTAAATACACGACATTTAAAATTAAATTTGAAATCAAATCAAAAGGAAAGACAAAGAATAAATAAATTCAATGGGAAAAAAAAGAGAAAACAATGACTGATGGTAAAAAAAATTTGAAATACAAGGCAAAAATATCTTTCAAAAATTACGTGTTTTGACTTAATTTAAATACAAGATAAAGAAAATAAGAAGATTTTTAAAAAAAGAAAAAAATTAAATTCTTTTAAAAAAATTTAAAATTAAAAAAATAACTACACACGTGAATGACACATGTTGTACAAACGCAACTAACCTATTTGGTTGAAGGTGTCACGTCAGCAACAATAGGTGCACAAAAATACAGAAAAAATGAGTTTGAGGGAGTAGTAGGACCCTGGTTAAATTAAAGTGTGTCGTAGGAATTCTGATCAAAACTTAGAGGTACTATGCATTATGCCCCTTTTATCTATCTAAGTCTTGATCGATAAAGTTAGCAGATCCAAACTGGCATTGACAATACAATTATAAAAGAAATATTAAAAAAAAATACTTAGAATTCAATAACAACAAACTCAGGATAACTCCACAAATAGTATCTGAGAAGAATAAAGCTTCCTCGACTCAGGTAAAATATTGAAAGCAGGTCGAAAAAGAAATACTATTAGATATAAAGATATTAGAATTCATGACTTGATTAAATAAATTTGATAAGAAAATAATTTATGGACCTAAACCACAGATTTCACCACTGGCCTGCAGATTTCTATAAAAATTTGAGTAATTATTAATTTAACTAAGAAATAAGTAAAGAGATTTACCAGGAATACCTCTAAAGCCTTTTTTTATTTTTTTGTCCTTTGCTATGGATTGGTTTAAACTCTGGAGAAAATGTTTTGCTCTATTTATTTTATTTTACAACATGCACTGCGGGTGAAATATCCACCTCTCATTGATTATTTTTTTGGAAAAGACACAAGTATCCCTTACACTATGATTGAAATTTCAGAAACATATTTTAATTAAATTAAGGTTCTATTATCCCTCTTGAATTCATTTGTTTTGTAATTTTATACACCTTTTGGCTTACGTGGCATACTCCGTGATTCCACGCAATTGATGCACGTTGAAGATGTTAATGTCACGTAAGCTAACAAGGTGGACGAAATTACAAAAAAAAAATGGGTTCAGGAGGTAAAAGGACTTTAGTTTAGTTAAGGTGTGTCTCTGGAATTTCGGTTATAGTCTAGGGGATACTTGTGCCTTATCCCTTTTTTAGCCAACAAATAGTAGTATAAACAAGTATTTATTGTGTCTTATTATAAAAGTCACAATCTTTCAGAAAAGTCACTATTCTTCAATGTGAAAAGGTGTTTGTTGTTAATATAATATAAATAAATATAAATATAAAATAAAAAGACATACTAAATTGAGTGTTTTTAGTAAGGGGTATTGTAGTAATTTAACATTCAAGTAAGGGCATTCATACTTTTAAAATAGTATAGATAGATATAGAATATATATGGATAGACATAGACATATATATATAGATAGATAGATAGATAGATAGAAAAATAGATAAATATATAAATAGATAGACAGATAGATAAACAAATATACAGAAAGATAGACAGATATAAATTGTAGTACTCCTTAAGGGTCGTTTGGTAAAGTGTATATAAGTAATGCTCAACGGAGTGTATTAGTAATGTTTGCATTAATTATGTATAGATTATTTCTTATGCATTGTTGGTTTGATGTATTAAAAATCATATGCATTGTAAAAATATTTATTTACAAAAATATCCTCCATAATTATGATAAAAAAGATTTAATTTCGAAAAAAATTATAAATATTTATTATAACTATAAATTATATTATTAATTGTAAAATGAAAATTTTAAAATAAAATATCATTTTTGTTAAAGAACATGTTACATGTGATAGAAAAAAAGAAAGCATTAAATTCAAGATCTCTTTCTATTTGTCCAAGTCTTGATAGACAGAGTTAGCCAATCCAAACTAGCATGAACAACATGATTATAAAATAATATTTTTTTATAAAAAAGTATAAAAATAGCTAATGTCATTCTAGATAAAAGGGTAGAGTATACGCAAACCTTATCTTACCTTCTTCATATCAAATAAAGCAGATCTAAGAAGAAACTATAAATATAATGTACCTAAACATAAGGGTGGCTACACCACTGGTTGTACAACTGGAAAGTTGTCCTGTCAGTGGGTTGGTGAAGTCGTCAGCGTACTTAACTAATAGGAATGGACGAGTTTGTTTGTCCATTGGTCAAAGATTATTTTTGGTTGAAATAATCAAAATGACAAACAACAAACAAATTATTCATTCAAAGTGAGAGATATCAAGCATCAAACAAAATATACAGCAAGGGACCTGATCAACGCAAGAAGTGCTTTTTGTGCCAACTGTTTGTTTTGAAAGCTTGTATTGTGCTAAAATTATAGGATTCGTTTCACTATTGTTAGAAACGTTTTAAATCTTTGTGTGAGTCATTGTAAGAATATCGTTAGAGTTAACTTTGTGTCTTACAGTTAAAGTCTATATTAATCAGTGAGGGTTAGTATAGTGGGCAATGGATGCATTGCTTAGGCACAATAAGTAACAGATTGTATTACTTAGTGTTGAGATTAAGGAGTTAATCTCATTGTTTGGTTGTAACCTGTGTTTCACTTTTGCTTGAGAATATTAGTGAAAACAGTTGAAAATCCTGTGTGAGCAAGGAGGTTTCCACGTAAAGTATCGTGTGTTCTCTTTACTTCCAGTATTTACTTTTGTGCTTCTTAACTGTGCCAAAGGACATGGTCCTGTCATAATTAGTGGACGCATACATTCCATCAGCCGATAAAATGTAATCTTGAGCATTGATTCTGACAAGACTGATGAAGCTGAGCTACAAAATGCAGCGCACAATCTGATCTCATTTGATGCAAATGTAACAGAGTACACCAGCTATGCTGACATTGCCACCATTCCAGGCCACTATGTCCTATTCTGGGAGCTCAATGTGAATGTCTCTACCCGAATTCCTCATTTAGTCTTTGAAGATTGTTGCCTCACCATTGAAGAATCTCTAAATAGGCTTTCCGGTGAACTCTTAGGGTTAGCACATCTTAGCACAAGATACCTCAATGCCAAACATACAAGCTTAAAAGATACGTTTTCAGATTTAGAAAGTTGTCTTTCTTTTTAGAAACGAATTAAAATAGAAATATTACCATCTAAATGAAACGAAGGAAGTGTTTAATGTGACAAATTTGTTCATAATAAATATTTTCTTCATAATCCATATACAATCATGTCTGTTCATAACATACATGTTCCAAGTTCAAATTTTAATATTATACATGACCTAACCCTCCTCACTTGGATTTTCACATTGTGGGATCTTTCTAGAAATATAAACGTATTTTGTTGAGGCAATTTCCCTCGTATAAAAAACATATTCAAGATGCACTTGTGGACAATGGGCTATACAGTTTTCACCCCAGGACTTCCTGGTGTGAATCAAATTTTAATTGGGCCCACCAACCGTCGAGTGGGAAACCAAAAAAAAAAGTAAAATATATGAAATTTGAAGAACACAACAACAAAAAAAAAAAAACACCCAACATAGTCCAACAAGTGAGGCTTGAGGGAGGGAAGGGTGTGCTCATACCTTAACCGTAATGTTGTGAGATAAAGAGAATGTTTTCGATAGACCCTAGGTTTTTCAGAACATGGTTTGAAAGAAATGAAAAAATAAAAAGTTATGATGAAAAACATTGAAGAACGAAAGTACTGACAATAATAATATTAGAGAATTTTGAAGAAAACAATAAAGTCCAAAGTTACGACCAACCTTTTCTTTAGTACAACGAACATGACTTTTTCCATTATAAATTTATAAAAACATATGAACCACATGGTGATGATGTCAGGAAATTAAGTAACATATGTATAAAGAATGAAACCACACTAAACAGATAGGAAATATTATAATTGCAACTGTTGGCAATTCTATGATGATCAGGCCATGCTGTTATTTTTTATTCTATGCTGATTTGTTTATTTCTTTTCAAAGGTCAATGTTGTATGGCTTTAGTCTAGTGGTAAGAGCACAACGCGTGGATGTATGAGCTCCTCTGTACTCACAAGTCCACAATTATCAAAAAGAAAATTTATGTGTGGCCTTAAAGTTGTAAGTCTTTGAAGGTCACTGAAACATACTCCATTTGTGAACTATCAGAGACAAGTTTACATACCTAATTCAGTTGAGCCCATAGTCAATACACTCCATCTGTCTCTGCTTTTAACATCGCGCAAAACGTCCTCTATATAAAGCTACTTCAACCTTCCTCAACACACATACTATACATTTTGTTCACCTAGTAACAATATTTTTACTCAGCCAGGTCTTTATTAATATGGAAAGAACCATACCTGAGGCATCAAAGAGTCCGATGAAGGCCACTGAGGGTAATATAGTGGAGGAAAACAAGAAGGCTCTTCAGTTCATTGAAGAGGTCACGACCAATGTTGATGAGGTCCAAAAGAGAGTTCTTGCTGAAATCCTCTCTAGAAATGCCAACGTTGAGTACTTGAAGCGCCATGATCTCAATGGTCACACTGATAGAGAGACATTCAAGAAAGTCATGCCTGTCATCACCTATGAAGATATTCAGCCTGATATTAACCGTATAGCCAATGGTGATAAATCTCCAATCTTCTGCTCCCAACCCATCTCTGAATTCTTGACAAGGTTTGCCTTTTCGAAATGTGCATCTCCATCTCAATAGTGTCCTATTATAAAGTACACAATTCACATTCTCTGTATCTCATAAAGCTCGTTCTGGCGTGTGTATTCTTTGTCTTTAATTTAAGCTGAAGTGCATTCTTTATGTGCAGTTCTGGGACGTCCGGAGGGGAGAGCAAATTGATGCCAACAATTCCAGAAGAGATTGGGAAGAGATTTCAGCTTCGCGGCCTTGTGATGTCTGTGATAAGCCAATTTGTTCCAGATTTGGAAAAGGGCAAAGGAATGTATTTCTGGTCCATAAAGTCCGAAGCCAAGACCCCAGGAGGATTAACAGCTCACCCTGTTTTAACAAGTATGTGCAAGAGTCCTTATTTCAACAACAACCGGTTTAGCCCCTATGCAAACTACACTAGTCCAGCTGAAACCATTCTCTGCCCAGACTCTTACCAAAACATGTACTCCCAAATGCTTTGTGGTCTCTACCAATGCAAAGAAGTCCTCAGCGTTGGCTCACCCTTTGCATCCAGCTTCATCCGTGCCATCCGGTTCCTAGAAAAGCACTGGTCTCTACTTTGTAACGATATTCGAATGGGAACCCTTAACACCCAAATTACAGATCAGTCAGTGAGAGAGTCGGTGATGAAAATCCTCAAACCTGACCCAGAGTTAGCTGATTTCATCGAGGCTGAATGCAGTAGAGATTCATGGCAAGGGATCATCGCTAGATTGTGGCCTAACACAAAGTATGTGGCTGTTGTTGTAACCGGAAACATGTCACAGTATATACCTACCCTTGATTATTACAGCAATGGCCTCCCTCTTGTCTCTACCATGTATGGTTCCTCAGAATGCCACTTTGGAATCAACTTGAACCCCTTTTGTAAGCCCAGTGAAGTCTCTTACACCCTTATTCCCACCATGTGCTATTTTGAGTTCGCACCAATTCACCGAGACAATGGAGTCATTAATTCTATCTCCAAGTCCAAGCTGCTTAATGAGAAAGAACAAAATCAATTAGTTGATTTGGTTGATGTCCAGATTGGCCAGGAGTACGAGCTTGTTGTAACCACATATTCAGGTACTTTCAAATGCCAAACAAAATGCTCGACTCGTTACTTTTTTACAATTTGTCTGTCCAACATGTCTGCTAATGATTATTTTGCTTGGACTTGTGCCATTTCAGGACTCTATAGATACAGGGTCGGTGATGTGCTTCGAGTTGCTGGATACAAGAACAATGCACCTCAATTCTACTTCATATGTCGGGAAAATGTAATCTTGAGCATTGATTCGGACAAGACTGATGAAGCTGAGCTACAAAATGCTGTGAAAAATGCAGTGCACAATCTGATACCATTTGATGCAACTGTAACCGAGTACACCAGCTATGCCGATACCACCACCATTCCAGGCCACTATGTCCTGTTCTGGGAGCTCAATGTGAATGGCTCTACCCAAATTCTTCCTTCTGTCTTTGAAGATTGTTGCCTTACCATTGAAGAATCTCTAAATAGCGTCTACCGCCAGGAACGTGCCTCTGACAAATCCATTGGGCCTCTGGAAATCAGGATAGTGGAAATTGGGACTTTTGACAAGCTCATGGATTACTGTGTTAGCGTAGGTGCTTCCCTTGACCAATACAAGACACCCCGATGTGTGAAATTTGCACCCCTTGTTGAGCTATTGAATTCGAGAGTCATGTCCAGACACTTCAGTCCCACGTGTCCAAACTGGCTTCCTGGTAACAAGCAATGGAACAACATGAATTGAATGGCTAGTTTGGTGTTTCAGACCACAAGAATTATAATAAAGACTTAGCTTCTCTTTATTGATCTTATTTTGTGTCATCGTCTCTTTGCTTTTGCTATAGTCACAATACTCTTGAATGAGAAACATGGTTACTTTGTTTCATCTAATTTTTCTTAGCTTTGTTGTTCAGATGTATGTCTTGCTATCAAAAATGCAATGAAAAATATATATTACAATAAAAATTCTGTTTATCACAAAGTTTTCTTTAAAATAATTCATCATCAATTTAATCCATCTCTTGTGGACTTATGATCAGATGACATAAGTTTGTATGGTTTTCAATATGGTGTCAGGATCCATAGTAGCATCAACCTTAAGTATCCCTTCTGCTTCATCAATCTGAAGCAAATCCAGTTGGGTCTGCAAGGGCTTTGCAGGCATGAAATGCTTTCCCTCAGCTGCTCTCTTGACCAGCCGAGCAGCAAGCACTTCATCCCCAACTTCCAACAACACGAATTTAACAATTCTTGCATAAGAACCTGGTTCATAATTTGGGTCTGCAGATCTAAGGATTTCCCTGTAGTCAGATGCCATTTTCGGAAAACTTATGACACAATTGCAAGTGCTTGATGTTGAAAGCATTAGATGATTATCCCCTTCAGATATGACAAGGTTCTGCGCATCTCTCAGATCCTAAAACACAGGAAATATCAGCAGTACATCAAGAATTAAGATTCAGTTAAGCTCTAGCCTTCTCAAAATTGCCACGAAAATGATGTACTAATATCAGTAAGTCAAAATCACAGTTGTCAAGAATGTTTTGAATCTGATATTTCTAGGAAATAAAAGTAGCATTCTTTCAAGCCACCAAGTTTAGATTGTAGTAACAAACTCGGAAAAAGACAAAAATCCTTCTCCACACTAAGGATTTCATGCATTGCACTCCCACTAATATATGCAACAATGTCACAAACACCTTCTTGATGGAGGTTGAAACAAGAAAATATATGCAATAAATGCTTCTTTATTAATAACCGTGGAGTCCGGACCAGCTTGTCCGCACCTCAGACATATCGAATAACTCTATGAATCCTGAGACCTCATCGTTCTAAACCCACTTAATTGATCACCAAAACCTGTCGATTTTCAGTACCCAAACTTTAATTTTCCACTTGGTCCAGTTCAAAGCTACTAGCAACAACAACATACCCAGTGTAATCCCACAAAGTGGGACTAGAGACGGTAGAGTGTACGCAGACCTTACCCTACCTAAGAAGCAACACATAATAACAAAAACAGCACATAGTAACAAATAATACGATTATCGAGCTACAAGGAATCAACATATAGTAAAAGAAATCTAAGGACAAGAAACTAACTTTGCCAAAATTTCAACTGTTTCAACTTCAATGATCAATGAAATCATGAAAGTTCTATTTTTTATGGTCTTAATTTTTCCGATAAAAAAAATTTCAGAAAACTTGTTAACATGATAAACAGATAATGATGCATATTAACTTGATAAAATCATTAAATTAATCATAAAAATTGAATTTAATGGTTTCTTTATTAAGATAAACTAGCAAAAAGAGCTGAAACAAAATCTATAACTCGTGTAAAGGAACTTACAAACTTAATTTCGCCGGAAAAATGAACAGACATTAGTTCGCCGGAAAAGGAGAAAAGCAAGATAACGTATTTCGCCAGCGAATACAGAAGAAATATGAAATTAATTTGTATTTTTGGGTCCCCTTTCTATCTAACTTGGGCCTACTACTTGAATCCAATTGGAGTCCACCAATTTTAAGACGGTGCTTACAATTCGAGCAATCTCTTTTGTCAAGTTTCACAAAAGGCTTAATATTTTTGTTGTTATAATTAAGGCAAGTGTCTTAATTTGATTGAACACAGAGTTTAAGAAAAGCATAATATATAAATATGTTCTTTAACCAAAAAATAAATATAGAGATTAACCAACCTTTTTTTCTCTTTGAATTGAACAGACTTTGCAATGGTACTAACCATTTAACTAATCATCACTAATCTAATACTAACAACTTGTAGAGCAGTTAACCCACTCAACTAATACACCACACTAGCTACCAATCAGGGGCGGACCCACGTTGGTTCCAGGGGGTTCACCCGAACCCCTTCGGCAAAAAATTACACTGTATATATACGGTAATTTTCTGTATTTATGTTGATATATATATTTTGAACCCCTTCAATGACAAGGAGAAAGAGATAGCCCAGTGGCAAGTAGGGGTGTGCAAAAACCGAACCGACCGATAAACCGAACCGAAAAAAGTGTTATTGGTTTATTGTTATTGGGTTATTGGGATAACGGTTATTTAATGGTTTTACAAAAAAAAATTATTGGGTTATCGGTTCGTTATTGGTTTTTAATATTGGGTTATTGGGTTAACCGATAACCCATTAAGAATATAATAATTTATTATTTTAATTTTTAGTTATACATATATATAATATATTAAAAAAATATTAATATAATTAGTAGTATATTAAACTAAATATATAAAACCCTACGCAATAATTAACACTACTTAACAATTAACTCTCCTCTCTACTTTTAGTTATTTAACCTTTAGGTTTTACTTTTTAGTATTACTTATTTACTTTAGTTAGTTTATAATTGACTAATATTAGGTTTTGCACGATTGTAAATATCTGCAATTTGATTAACATTAGGAATTCAAATTGTGTGTGTGTGTTTTTTTTTAAATAACGTAAGAACTTCATTTAGTTACCATAAGCATGGCCTCATTTGCTACTGTTTTGACTTTTGTCTATGATTTGGTTTTATTTGATTCTCTTTATTGCATAAAGGGGACCTCGTTTTATATATATTATGGTGATCGAAAATTAACTAAGTCTTTGTTGTGATGACCAAAATACAACAAGTTGGTCCTTGTTGTCCCGTTTGGAATGATTATTTCGATGTATGCGTATCGCGTCAAATTATTGGATAAGTCATATATTTGTTTTGAAAGCATTTTCTTATTGGTTAAACCGAAAATCGAACCGTTAAAGACCTAAAACCAATAAACCGAAAACCGGTAACAAATATCTTATTGGTTTGGTTATCGGTTTAGCATATTTAAAAACCGAAAACCGATAAACTGAACCGATAATACTTATAACCGAATCGAACCGACCGATACACACCCCTAGTGGCAAGTTCCTTGAAAATCAAGTCTCATGTTGAGGGTTCGAATCCCTGCATTAGCGTTTTATTTTTTTCTTTTTCACTTTCAGTTTTTTTTTTTTTTTAAGGTTTCAGTTCCGTTTTCACGTTTTTTATAGTTTTTTTTTTTTATAAAACATGCTAAAAGTGTGGTTTTAAACCCAAAAAAATTCAAGAGTCCGCCTCTAAAACTAAATACTACTACTTTCTTGAAATTTTATTTTGTTGGCTTATATATACACATTTATACTTTTATTTTTCGAACCCCATGAATGAAAATCCTGGGTCCGCCACTGCTACCAATAACAAAATAATATTTTATCTGAAACATGCGATAAAATTTGTGTGTCTAATAAAAACTTGTTGTTAAGGTAAAATGTGAAGTTCAAGTTAAATCAGAAGTCTCGGGTTTGAGCCCTAGAAGGGAATTGTTGGGAGCGCCACCCCGATAAATGGGGCCTGCAAATCGCGAATCTGATTTTTTCAGGCTCCAATATTGGTACCGATCACCAGGTTAGAAAAAAAAAAGAAGTTCCACGTGAAATTTGAAGGGGAAAAATAAAGTTAAACACATGTAAATGATTGTCTGACCATATCTTTTGTCATAACTTAACATGTATATTTTTTAAAAAAAACACGTCAGACGGATGGGAAATATTATTATTATTATTGCAACTTTCTGCAATTAAGTAATGATCTGGCCATGTTGTTTTATATTCTTTGTTGATTTGTACATTTCTTTTCTTTTTTGATAATCGAAAAAGTTTCGAGGGTCAATGACGTACGGTTAGAAACTTGGTGGATAATATAGGTTCATCCCTCTATCTTTCTCCGCTCAAAAGCATTTCAGAAAGAAGAAAAAAACAGAAATTTTCTGTAAATGATAGCATACTTCTAGTGCCTAAGGCATTAGTCTACTGGTAAGAGCACAACGCGTGGATGTATGAGCACATTGCATCACGAAGTCGAATTTGCTAAATAAATTAATTTTATATTAATTAACTTATAGTTCACATTTCAGAATCCAGTTGTACCTGAGAATAAACAAAAAGACAAGAAGATATTTGAGACTTATGGGAACAGATTTTTAGGTTACTTTTGATCCAGATCCAGATCACAATAATCAAAAAGAAAATTTATATGTAGTGAAACATATTTTTGTAGAATCAGAGACAAAGTTCAAAAAGGACGGACATGATATATTTACGAGTAAATAATGGATTCAGTTGAACCTATATATACATTTTGTTCACCATTGTAACAAATCATTGACTCAGATAGGTCTTTAGTAATATGGAAAGAATTATACCTGAGGTACCAAACAGCTGGAAGAAGGCCACTGATTGTAGTATCGTGGAGTTAAACAAGAAGTGTCTTCAGTTCATTGAAGAGGTCACAACCAATGTTGATGAGGTCCAAAGGAGAGTCCTTGCGGAAATCCTCTCTAGAAATGCCAACGTTGAGTACTTGCAGCGCCATGATCTCAATGGTCACACTGATAGAGAGATATTCAAAAAAGTCATGCCTGTAATCACCTACGAAGATATACAGTCTGATATCAACCGAATAGCCAATGGTGATAAATCTCCAATCCTCTGCTCCCAACCCATCTCTGGATTCTTGACAAGGTTTGTCTTTACAAAATGTGCATCTCCGTCTTAATAGTGTACTACTACGTATAGAGATAAAGGTCAAAAACACATGAAGTATCACATTTTTGCAAGTTTTCTACGTGTTTCCTACCTAACTATCATCAACAATTTATCAAAACATACCTTGACTAAATATCTGATGGTGCGTGGTGCACTCTTTCTTG